GGTTGGAAGACATGCATCACACACACGCACACTTATTACACAATTGCGCCCTCTCGACGGAGGGACCGAAAGAATAATACAAATTGAATGATCAACTAACCTAGCCAATTAAATATTACACAATACTTAACTAATTAAACAAATTAATTAAGCTAAGAAAGTAGTAAAGAGGCATCGGGAAGAGGGATGAATGCGTGCACGCTCAGCTCCACTCGGAAATTCATCGCTATACTCATGCTGCCTCTGTTTGCACTGCTCTGCACCTCTGAACACTACGCAAGTCTCAAAGTTACTTCTGAACTACTCCCTGAGGGTTGTGGGAGGTCACCGACCAAGAGGGAAGGCCACTGGCTGTGGGGAACTAGTCATCGACCATTTGTGGGGATATCAGCCAACGATACATGGCCGGTCGGCACTGAAGATGGACGACTGGCCATCTCTTCCTGCAGAATCCTATTTTGCTGCAGCAGAGGACAGGCAGAGCATGTCAATGCATTTTCAAAGCTATGTGTACACCACCACCCTTCTTAGCATGTTTGAGACTTAAAGGAGCATGGTTTTTGACCTTCCGGCCATCAATCACGCATTTCAATGCACGATGGCCAAAGGAGCCGAGTGTACGAATTAATGTACAATGAATGCACAAAAACACGAAAGGGGGCCCTAACCTCCATCATGGTTGATCAAAAGGCAAAGGATGCATGCTCAATGCTATGCGACCTAGGCATGTAAGCAAGTAATGTGCAATAGGCATACAACCTAAATAAACAAGCATGCAAAGCATGTAACAACAATGCCAATGATGAACATGCAACAACATGTGAGGCAAACATTTGACAACATGTTAAGTAACTAAAAAAGGAGAATGCATGCCAAATGTATTACAACTTAAGCATGCGACGACATGTCATGGATTAAGTACACAACGAGGCATAATTGAACTAGCATGCTACAACATGCAATTTACCAAATATGCAACAAGTATGTGACAACATACAAGGCAAGCATGCAACAACATGCGGGGATGGTCTTAAACCAAAATGGGCAGCTCTCAAATAAGCCCAAATCAGTGGCCAAAGTGCCAAGAAATGATGGACAAAACACACTCAAACGTGCACGTGTACAGGTTCAACACTTAGGCATAAAAAGAGTCGACTCTTAGACACATTAAGAAGAGACAAATATGGACATATGACAAGTATGATAAGCTCTGAAAATGTGCAAAGGATGATGCCAAATCAAACAAGCCATGCAAGTAAGGCATGAAATAAAGCCCAAAACCCGAGACTAACAAAGGGTTCAAACCATGGCCATATCAACCAAGCCCCAAAGAGCCAAGATGACTTAAAACAGTCTTAGGGCAGACCAACATAAGGCTAGAGCATGCATGGGAAGTGGTCAAATCAAGCTAGAAAGGTGAGCACAAAACAAGGCGCACACAAGGCCAAAAGAAGGGATTGCACTACACCCATTACCATCAAGCATGGCATGACTTAATCAAGGAAAATCAGAGCTATAATATGCCAAATCAAACCCCAAAACCCCATGAGATGGCATCCCAAAGACTTAATCTTGGAGGCATGCACAACGACCCAAACATGGAGCATAAGACACCAACTCCTCAAAGCATTGAAATGATGGCAAATGCAAGCATACAAGCATGAGACACGGGCTAAAATAGCATGATAAGTGATTCCAAACCACTGAAATAGCCCAAGTAAAGCATGCTCATGACTCACACACCCAAAGCCAACAAGCTAAAATGCATGGTGGCTATACCAAACATGGAAAACATGACCAAATCGACACCAAACAGAGCTTAAACATGTCACAACATGGATAAAAGCTTCATGAAGGCAAGCTAAAACATGCAAGCACGATGGTCTAAATGCATGACACATGTTTAGGCAAATAAGAGGATTGCAAGGCAAGTGCATGATGCATGCAATAGATCACCAAACCAACATGAAACAGAGGTATAACATGATAAACTAACACCAAATACCCAGTGAAATGAAGCTAAAACACATTAGGCCAACATGCTACCTTTACAAGTCAACAATGCAAGCAAATGGGACACAAGGGGAGAGGGGTGTCCCTCCCCTATACAAGACCTCAAAACCACTTCTCTACCACTGAAAATCCTCTGGATTTCAGTGGTGAGAAGGCCAAAACAAAAGGGTTACAAAACCCGAATAGGAAGGCACAAAAAGAGGCCAAAGAAGGCCTAAAAAGGGGTGGACGACCCCCAACACAAAAGTGACCTTAATGAAACATCTCAAGCATGAAAATATAGAACTTTTATCACTTATACACTAACCTTAAAATAGCATGCAAGATAGGCTAAAAGCTTAAGGCAAAATGGAGAATAAAAGAGGTAGTTCTCACCCTTGAAGAACACTTCAAGAACATCAACTCCAACACCTCCTTCTAATCAAAACCAACTCAAAAATTCTGAAATCAAACCCTCAACACCTCAGTAACCAAAGTATAGTGTAACACTAGGTGCCTTAGTGCAAAAATAGGAACAAAAACACACTTTTGAACACTATTACACACGCAACTAGAGAGAGGGGGAGATATAGAGAGAGAGTGATATATAACTTCTATATCAGATGAATCAACCTCTGGAAAGGGAGGGGAGGCCCTCCTTTTATAGAAAAATCACTTTACAAAGCTTCCAAGGAAAGCTAAATAAGGCTCAAATCCCTCCATACACGTGTATGGAGGGCAGAGTCTGTGCTCACTAGCTGGCTCAGCTGGCATGCACAATGCTTGAAAAAGGCAAAGAAAAGGTCTCAGCCAGAAAATGTGGTCGACCGACCAAATAAATGGCCGACCGACCAACTAAAGTGCCGATCGGCCAACACATTTGGCCGGTGGCAAGAAAACAAAGTCGGTGGCTTCAGGCCATGGCCGGTGGGTTGAGAGGATGGCTAACAGGCCACCCTCTTCCCTCAGAAGCAAAAACACAAGTGTTTGGTCCACAACCAAGCACAAAACAGACAAGTTGAGAGATCTTGAGGCAAGGTGCACAGTTGAGACCTCCGAGAACTCAAAACGAACACGAGCATGGATGATCATCGAGTGTTCAAACGATGACGTCCAAGTCTTGAGGATGGTCAAAAATGGGGTGTCTACAGTCGGTTACATGTCTAAAGGTCACAAACAGTTGCCTAGTTCATTCGTAGCATGATTTGCGATCAACAAAACAGTTTTAGATAAGTTCTTAGTCCCAATCAGTGTGTTTCCAGGTTTACTCATGGTGTTTCAAGGTTTTTTTTTTTTTTATATATTGGTTTGGACCTTTGAGTTCATAAGTACATATTTGGTAATTGAGCCACTATCTTTAGAAATAAGCAGAAATAGCTATAAAGGTGAAGAACTTACCGATTGGGGAGTGAAATCCGAATCCAAGATGAAAATAGGTAGTGCTGAGTACAGCAAGAGATGCGTAGGCCTAGTCTTGAGCACAAGAAGGTTAGGGGTTGAAGCTTAGAGGAATGAAGGCTAGCAAGAGGGAAGATGAACAGTAAGTGGCCTTTCAAAAAAGTAAAACTTGGGGCAGAAATGGACGGGACTGTTCAAATTTCATAAGTACAACACGGCTGTAATAGATGTACTTGACTAGTGGGGGGCGTGCCACGTGTCTAGAGAAATAAATAACGTTTCAGACGTGCTTAGGTAGTGGAGCGGTATACAGAGCAACTGACAAGATATTTCTAGACCAAACGAATTGGGAGCTCAGGTAATATTGAGCCTGGTTGGAGGCTTATGCATCTAGCTCGGTTGGAAGAAGAATAATCCCAAACATGCACTGTAGATGGAATTAAGGGGCAATTGAGGGGGCAATTGAGAGGGCAATTTATGTCTAAATAAGGCTGAGCTAAAGCCATCTGTTGAATGGACCGAGCTAGGTTCATTCCCTTGGTCATTGTGCCGCACCGTGGGCAAAACTAAAAATGGGTTAAGCTCAATCGTAGACTGGATGAGTATTCGGCCTAAGGCTTGAACCGAGGTGGTTATATCAAAGTAGGACCAGGGTACGATGTTGCGGTGTTCCGGAGTGATTATCTCGGTTAAAGACTACCCTGGTTCTGTCTGGCGTGGGGCAAGGCCTTCCTAGCTCGGTTGAGCTGCTACTGAGCCGAGGTAAAGAGGTTTGGGCCATCTCATTTGGTTGGTAGTAAGAAGGGTGTCATCAAGATAGGTATTATCCTGATGAGTGTGATTCCTAGAAGGACTTTGCTAAAGAGAGTTGGAGTCTTATTAGGATTGTGCTAAACAGAATCTACAAAAGCTCATACAGGACCTATGTACAGGTAACGCAATTCTTACTCTAAAATACACAGAACTTTTGTGTCTATTGTCTATTTGCTGACTTAGGCATCAGAGAGGTTTCCGACACACACCCGCCGGCTAGCTCACGTTTGTGTTTTCAGGTAGTAAAGCGACGGCATTTGGAGGAGTGCAAACTTGATCAACAAGATTATACATGAAGATTATTTCGCGCTCGTACAAATGTATATTGTCCTTATTAGAAAATTTATATTAATAAGAACTAAAATTTTAATTAAACATATTGAGTTAATATTTTGGAAATAGAAGCACCCAAAGTTTGTCACATCTATCTACAATTTTTGGAGGAGCCTTGCCTCTCAGTCAAACAATTTTTGGACCGAATGGCCTAGTTTGTGTGGTTATGGTCACACATCACATTCATTTTGGTGTTTTGAATTATTCATCAAATTAATCAGACATTGTCAATTATTAGTCAAATTACATTTTTCTTAACAATTGTAAAACATAATTTTAAAAATAGTTTGTTTATTATTTTTTTTATACAAATATAAATCAATCACATTATTACTATGTCTAATTAATTTAATTTTTTTGATTAGATGATATGCTCCATGGGCCTTAATTACATCCATCTACTAGCGTGAAAGAAAAAGGTATAATTTTTTTTTCTTTTCATTTTTTTGGGTGACAACTCCTCTCTAGTCCATTGTGATGTTTGGGTTTGTAGGGCTCACAATGGCCCACCTCAAACCTAGAAGCCCCTCCTCTTTCACTTTTCTGGTCACCAATCCCAGCCCTTCCGACAACAGCTTCGCCACTTTCTCCCCAACATCTGTCACATACCGGTCCAACTCCACCACCTGTTGGGAATTTATGCATCAAAATTAGAGTATTGAGAGCTATGACAAGTTAACATATTAAGATTATATTTTTCTCCCCTCCTGTAAAAGTCCATCTCCAAAATATAATTTAAAATATATAGTCATTATATTTTAATTTATTCTCTCTATGTAAATTTTTATTAATTTTATTTACGTGCATATCTTAAAAAGTTTATAAGTGTTTAAAAATTATTAATTTTAATTTCTAATTTAGATAAAAAGGATTACACTGAAATTATGCTTTAAACTTCAGGAAATAAATTGTACAATTTGAAATTATAGAGATTAAACTGAAATTTAATTTTCTTATATTAAATTTGGGTTAATTATACTTTTCACTCCTGGTTTGACTCAAATTTCACTTTAATCTCTATAATTTCAATTTAAATAATTTGATCTTTACACTTTAAGTGTAGTTTTAATTTAGTTATTCCGTCTTATTTTTTGTTAATTTTGTCTATATATACACCTTAGAAATTGACAAATATTTCAAAATTGATAATATTAACTTCCAATTTAGAAGAGAGATTCAAATTATAACTTTAGAAAATTGATAATGTGTTGAATTTATTAATTTTAATATCTAATTTAAATAGATTAATCAAATTAAAATTAGACTTATATTCTACCGACCGAATTATTGATATTAAAACTATAACAACAAAAGCAAAATTTATATCAAATTACAGGAGATAAAACATATAATTAACTCTTTAAATTTTAAAACTTAAAATAAAGTTCTAACACCACCGCCTCCCGGCAAACGGCCGGAATCTTCTCCGCCTCCATAGCCTCCGGCGACATCCAAGCATGCACGTAGTCGTGCCAGCTCGCCACCTTCAACCGAAAAAGATCGTTGTTGCTGGCATACACGAATCCTTTGAACTTATCCCGAACGTAGTGCTCTGCCTTAATCTCCTGGGGTTGTTCGTGGAATGATCGGATTGACATGAGTGTTTTGTTGATAACATAGTTGGGTACGCCGTGGTTGATCACTTGGAAGAAACCCCAAGTTTTCGCGGCTTCTCGAATTTGGTTGACGATGTTTGGTCGGAGTTTGGGGGAATTTATGTCGAAGAGATCGATTACGGGGATGCCGCCGGTGTTAAAAGATGAAGATTTGAGAGTGGAGAGAGTTTCCAGCGACTGAATGAAGAATTTGGGGATGGCGGTTGTACGAGCACGAAATAATCTTCTCGTATAATCCTGTTGATCAAGTTTGCACTCCTCCATATGTCGTCGCCTTGCCACCTGAAAACACAAATGTGAGCTAACCGGCGGGTGTGTGCTGGAAACCCCTCCGATGCCTAAGTCAGCAACTAGGCAATAGACAATAAGCTTTGTGTATTCTAGGGTAAGAATTGAGATACCTGTACATAGGTCCTGCTATGAGATTTTATAGATTCTGCTTGGCCCAATCCTAGTAGGATTTCAACTCTCCTTATAAGAGTCCTCCTAGGAATTACACACCCTACTCACTACCAACCAAGTGAGATGGTTTGCACAATCGTAGTAGGCCTCTACTCTCTTTAGCAGAGTCCTCATAGGAATTACATTCCCAAGGATAATGCACATTCTGATAACTCCTTACTCACTGCTTGCCAAGTGAGATGGCCACTCCTTTATGCTCGGATATACATTCCTGACCGAGCTGCCTTATCTTAGTCCCTTATCGTTCGGGCTGTGTGATCGAAATTCGATTTACCGAATTGCACCCTGTCGAGCTACACATAACTCGGCCCTCTCCATTGACAACATCTCGGTCCGATAAAAGACTACTTTCAAATAGCTAGGTCCAGGCCCTAGCAACCCATCTCTGGCCAACCTAGTGTCTTTTAGCCCAAGATCGAGCTACATTAGCTCTTATCTCGGCCCATTGTGCGGCCTAACTTCCAAAGAAGACTTTTCCTAGCTCGACCCAATTCGTTCACAAATTACCTTCTTAATTGCCCCTTAATTCCATCTGCGAAGCATGTTTAGGATTATTGACTTTCAGCTGTGCTACCGAAGTCCAACCACATTGAAACAATGATTCTAGCCGAGATAAAACTATGATTCCAGCCGAGATAAAACTATGATTCCAACCGAACTAAAGCTATGATTCTAGCCGAACTAAAGCTTGTTCGACATCCTGAAATTGCGCTGGTCGCATGGCCTATCGCCCCAAAAAAGTCTGACATCACGTCCTTACCAGGATGCGTTGATTACCCCATCGTACTATGCTAGCCGTTTCACTTTGCCCAAAATTTTTTGAAAAGGAGCCCGCCGTTTTGTCTTCAATATTTAAAACCTTTGAGTTCACAATCGTACAAGAAGACGTTTTTTCTGTATAACTAGGCTATATGTCCCACCTTTTGTAATCATCGCCTAATTGATGAAAATTTTCGATCTCTTTGCTTGGTTACCGTGTTTCTTTTTCAATGTTTTGCATCATTCCGACTGCACGTCTAGCCGAATTAATTAGCTTGGCCTTACCTGATCCTGCCAACCTTCTTGAGCCGTGATCCTTATCTTTGCTGAAGAATGAAAAATTTGTTGGTCAAACCCGCCAACATTCCTGAGTTTAGATCCTTATCTCGGCTAGAGGAAGAGAAATTGTTGGTTATTCCTGCCAACCCTTTTCAGCCTAGATCCTGATCTCGGCTAAAGAGAACAAAATGTTGGTTATTCCGGCCAACACTCTTCAGCCTAGATCCTGATCATGGCTGAAGAGAACAAAATGTTGGTTATTCCTGCCAACCCTCTTCAGCCTAGATCCTGATCTCGGTTGAAGAGAACAAAATGTTGGTTATTCCTGCTAACCTTCTTAATTGCCCCCCAGTCGGGCAAAGACTTTTGCGCGGTGAGTCTACTTGTCAACCGTGTTAACTCTTGCCAAAGGCTTTTTGTCTGGTATCGCTGTTGTACCGGACTCTTCCTTGGTGCGCGTCCCATCTTCCTCTACCCGAATGTGTTGATACACTTCTTCTTCCATCAGGGTTTCCATAGTAAGGGGTGGCGTCATTGTCATTGAATCCCTCAACTTATTGCCAGCTGGCAAACCTTGTTTGTATCGTGCGATAGCTAGGTTTGTGGGGCAATCTCCAATCTGATTAAAAGTTTCCCAATACCGGTTATTGTAAGACCCCAATGTTTTCTTCTCGCCCATATCTATGGAGAGAAGCTGGTCAATCTCTACAGGCGTCTTGGTGTTTGTTCTGAATCTGGTCATAAATGTCTCCGCTAGTTGCACCTATGAAGCTATGCTACCTTTTGACAACCTTTCAAACCATGTTAAACCCAAGTCACCCAGGCTGGAAGGAAATAGGATACATATTAGAGCCTCATTTTGCCGATACACTACCATAACCTGGCGGAAGTGGCTCAAGTGCATGTATGGGTCCGACTTTCCCTCATAAATAGTGAATTTAGGGTGGTGGAAACCGGAGGGTAATGGTGCGTTCTCTATCGCTAGAACGAACGGCGAACTCTGCAACCTTGCTAATGCTTTATCTGTCGGGTCATAGACAAGATGCGGCTCTGGCATTCCAACCTCGACACTCCCACGTGTTCTAGGAGCCAACCGTTGTAATGCGGAGAATCTGCGGGGGTCGCGAGCCTGAGTGTCTTCTCTCGTTTGAGCCCTTTCTTTAAGCACTGTCTGCGGGCCCGCTGTCCTAGGCAACTCTGTGTGCCTAGATGTCGTTTGGTGCGTGTGCGAGGGCCGATAGCTGCTTCCCTCTGTTTGCGACCTTTTAGTCCTCATTCTCTCGAACCTAGAGTAACGAGTCCTGGAAATCCTTGATTGAGTGTCGCCTATTCTAAGGCTCCTACTTTCTGCTTGTGATGGCGTGACTTGTCTGTCACGATCTTCTGAGTGGCGAGGGTACGCCCTGCTCTTGCCTACCTCTTCTTCCGCCGCCCATTTTCCCTTTATCTGGTGCTTCATAGTCTCTATGTCTGCCGCTATGCTCCGTATCAATTCATCTTGCTTCTTACTCGATCTTCTAGAACTTGAGGATCCAACCTTCGCCTCTGCCTTTCAGGGCTTTGGGAGTGACGAGGACTGGAGCCCCGTCTTTCACGGGTATCCCTCCGCGGGTTCCGTCGCTAGGAATCTAACTCTGCCATGGACGGGATAAAAAGTAAGCCTTTGCGCCTTTCGCCTCCCTCTGGGGTTTTCCCATCAATGGCAAAGTGTGGCAAGTCTTCATTGTGCGCCATTGAAATCAGTTGAAAGAAACTTAATCAAGAGGTTCGTTCTTTGTGATTGCAATTCCCACATATGGCACCAATTGTACAAGCACGAAATAATCTTCTCGTATAATCCTGTTGATCAAGTTTGCACTCCTCCATATGTCGTCGCTTTGCCACTTGAAAAAATAAACGTGAGCTAACCGGCGGGTGTGTGCCGGAAACCCCTCTGATGCCTAAGTCATCAACTAGACAATAGACAATAAGCTCTGTGTATTCTAGAGTAAGAATTGAGATACCTGTACATAAGTCCTGCTATGAGCTTTTATAGATTTTGCCTAGCCCAATCCTAGTAGGATTCCAACTCTCCTTATAAGAGTCCTCCTAGGAATCATACACCCTACTCACTACCAACCAAGTGAGATGGTTTGCACAATTCTAGTAGGACTCTACTCTCCTTAGCAGAGTCCTCCTAGGAATTATATTCCCAAGGATAATGCACATTCTGATAACTCCTTACTCACTACTTGCCAAGTGAGATGGCCACTCCTTTATGCTCGGATATACATTCCTGACTGAGCTGCCTTATCTCGGTCCCCTGTCGTTCGGGCCGTGTGATCGAAAGCCGATTTACCGAATTGCACCCTGCCGAGCTACGCATAGCTCAACCGTCTCCATTGACAACATCTCAGTTCGATAAAAGACTACTTTCAAATAGCTAGGTCTAAGCCCTAGCAACCCATCTCTGGCCGACCTAGTGTCTTTTTAGCCCAAGATCGAGCTACATCAGCTCTTATCTCGGCCCATTGCGTGGCCTAACTTCCAAAGAAGGCTTTTCCTAGCTCGGCCCAATTTATTCACAAATTACCCTCTCAGCGGTGACATCGGAATCGGAGAGGCCTTTGACGCCGATTTTGGAGTCGTCGAATTCTTTCACTTCCTTCATGCGATTGTATTTGGTAGATACAATGACTACTATTTTTCTCACTGTGGTGCGGTGTGGTGTTAATGGTTTGCTTTTTATTATAGTTTTATTTATAACGACTTTCATTGTAAAATCAATAAAAAAATTAGGTCAATTTTGTACACTGGTAACAAAATATCTCATAAGGAGTTAACAAATATTTATAGGAGGAAAGAATCTTAAAAAATTCTTAACAAAGAAGAGACACAACCTCCATATAGCAAGATTATTACAATAAATAATAAGAAAATAAAAAAGTAAACCGAAAACAATCCGATCCAAGTCGCTAAACGCATCTAAAGTTCTATTTACACCTAGGGCTGTGTAAAATATTGTCCAATTCGCTAAAACTGCACCGATTCGCATTAATTCGCTCTACTCTAAACTAACACCATTGCTGCCCGTCGCCTGTTGCCGTCCATGACCATGCATTGGATGACGACTGAGTCATCCCTTTCCAGCTCCCTTCCATTGTAAGATTTGGGCCATACTTTTCGGTGAGTTCCTAAACTTGCTTGATTGCAATGGTGGAGGAGTTGTCGAGATTGTCAATCACCACCGCCTTATACCTACCCAAAAGCAACTAAAGTGTCACGACCCGCTCCCCGTACCCAAGGATTAAGTATCGTGATGGCCAGTAACTAAACTTATCTCCGGCCAATTCTTAAACAAATTACTAATCGTGAGCGGAAAAAACATTTTTAGCGAGGGTACCAAAATAATCATCGGAGTTTCTATTTTTATAACAAAATTTATTGACCAAAAAGGCTAATATTTACAAATAAAAATACTATAAAAGTGTTGTGTATGTCTATTCCGTAGCCCTGCGTCTAAGACTCTTCAAAAGCTATTTCTGAATTGCATTGTTTCCTGAAGATTGGTAAACAACTATAAGCACATGGCAGAGTGAAAAATATTATACTAAGAGCATCAGGGTATAAAATTCACCATGGATAATTATTGGTTAAACAAAACTTTAAAATACAGAGTATATAATACAAATATCATTTGACATATAATACAGAAACAAAATAATCATAACCAGGGTACAGAACGGAACAGAACAGATGTATGGACTCAAGAAGTGACTCCTACCACAGTGTAGCACTTAGCTCCGTACAGCACTTTGCTCCACACCAGAAATCATAACCACGGTAACAGAACAGATGTATGGACTCAAAATGTGGCTTGTACGAACTCTAGAGGTAGCAAACAGAGGTCAATGGTTATTTAAGTCCACCAAGGCATGGAACTCCCGTGGTGGTACTTACAAAACATAATTATTTACAAAATCATTGTCAAATAATCATTAAAAGTTAAACAAACATATCCATGTGTTCATTTTAAGCAAATAGATTTCAGAAAATAATCAACGTAATTAAAATATAAATATAAGTTATAAAACATAACTTGTATAAAACAAATTATGGTAATTCAAAATATACGTAAAATATATTATGGTGACTCAAGGTATAATATAACTCACCTTCATATTAATCCCTTACTATCACTTCTCAATTCACTCAAACTTCCCATTTTTAATCACTATCTACACCTCCCTGACTCCCTTCTTCTTATTCGAAGCACCCTTTTATAGGTGCTTCCCTACTCCTTTTCATTCCAATCCATTTACCCCCTCGCCAAGCAACCACGTGGCCCAACCTTGTTGGCATGCTTTGATCTTCTTTTTTTATTTTTGTTTTTATTTTTTTTATTTTCTAAATTCATAGGTTTATCTTCAATAATTATCTACTTAATTTTACATTACTTCAAATTAATAGAATAATTGCGTAATAACTTCTAATATAAATTAAATTACACTTTATTGCATACCATCATTAAATTAATTATTTTATTTGATTCCTACAGAATATTTAATTAAACATTTAGGGCTCATTCCATTTATAATTAAATAATACTAACATAAAATTGAAGGGACAACTTAAATTTTTGGATTGTTACATGAAGCACCATGTGGGTTCCAATATACCCAGCACCACCAGTCACAAGTATGTTTTGCACCGCAACTACACAAACCTAATTCACATATAGTTATATATCTCTGTGTCTATATAAAGAGAGAGCAATTGAAGACTGTAGACATTTTGGATCCAATGACAATTGTGACTTTGATCAGGCTTTAACAATATGTAAAGTAACCCAGACACTCTATTAAAAAAAAATTTGGGAAAAAGATGAACATAGTGGGTTGGGTTAGGTTTTGGACTGGTCTAGAATTTGGTTCTCAAATGCTCCTCCTAGATGAAGAAGAAGAAGACCAGAGAGAGAGAGAGAGAGAGAGAGAGAGAGACGGTTTTGCGACAAAGAAGTTGTAGCAGAGTTGATGGCAATGACGGCAATATCGATGGACGGTGGCTAGGGTTAGGATTAAGAAACTAGAGTTTTAGTGGAGAAGATAAGGATACTTTAGTAATTTTATGTTAGGACAAAATTATAATAAAAAAAATAAATCATGAAGGTGGTGTTTGGGAAGGGAAGTTCGGGCTAAATTAAGGTGGTGTTTGGGAAGTTCGGGCTAAATTAGCCACGTCCGGACAAAAAAGGCTAATTTAGCCAAATGAAGACAAAATAGAAGCAATGTGTTGGGTTCAAACCCTTTTGGGGTAAATTTACCAAAATACCCTGGGTCTTCCCTCTGAATCTGAGGCCCAACGCGTAAATCACACACACACAGAACAAGCGAAGGAGGAGAGAGATGGAAGACGAGGACCTTCACCAAGTAGACTCAGTTCTCGATTTGGCCTCGACGAGTTTGACCGTGTCGTCGATCTTCGGCAGCGACGATGTTCCGAGTAGCTCTGGCGACATCTCTGCCGCGAGCAGCAGTTCCGGCGAGATTCCTTCGGCCTTGTTGGTGGTGCCACTGAGATTGGTGGTGGGACTGCCGGTGCCGGAGGCGGCATTTGTGGCGATTTTGGGGAGAGTGAAGTCCGTGAGGAGGAACAACAAGGGAGTGACGTGGGGGTTCACGTCGGTGATAGGGAGGAGGAGAGAGATGGAAGACGCCGTCGCCGTCGTACCTGGGTTCATGACTCGCACGTGCGATCACGTGGAAGGGTGCACCGTCTCCGGTTCTCGAAGCTCTGGCGAGATCTTGCCTCTTCATTTCTTCGCCGTTTATGATTGCCACGGTGGCTCTCATGTACTGTGGATTTTTTAATTTTTCAAAAAATATTCATATAATATGTATTTTTTGAAAAATTAAAAAAAGAATTTGTATACCAATAAAAATTAAAGAACAAGAACTAATTAATGTATAAAAAAAGAAAAATGACAAAAACATAATTTTTTTTTAAAAAAAAGAAAACATCAATATACGGCAAATCCAAAACCCCCCCAAAAAAAAAAAATTCGGTCCAAACAATATGACGTGGAGCACGCCCAAATGCAATGAGTTGACATGTAAACCTATCAGGGGCAGTTTGGTAATTTAATAGGAAGACACCTCACCAAAAAGTCAAAAAGTCAAAAAGTCCTTCCCAAACTAGCCTTTTTAGCCTCAGGCTAAAATAACCAAAAAAGTCAAAAAATCAAAAAGTTAACCCACTTCTCAAACGGAGGCTAAGTGTGTGCATAAAGATAAATAAGTGTGCGGAAATAAAAATTTTATTTCAACAGTAATACAAGGGTAAAGTTGTCATTTTAAACCATCTTCTGACTGATGTCATACTTTTCTGTTGGGTCAACATAGGTTTGACTAAGGAAAGGATTAAAGTGTTACATTATCCTATAATAGGAGGGAGTACAATGACATTTTAGATAATAAAGAGAATGTCAATGCTATTTCAGACAAATAAAAAGAGTGTTAGTGTAATTTATCTGACAATATCTATTCCCTTCCCATCAAAGAAAATTAATCTCGTCGCATCGTGAATCCTAAACCTTTCATTGATTACAATATTGCATCCTAAACCTTTCATTGGTTGCAATAATGTAGCTCTAGGATTATTTATTGAATTCTTTGATTTATTTATTGGTGATGCTATATACACCAACTAGTGTATCAATTAGTGTATTAACTAGTGTTGTGACATTATTATTGACCTCCACCTATTATACGAATTATAAATATTCAAAATTTCTAAAATTGTGTCACATTATTTGTTACTACACTAGTTAATATACTAATTGATATATATAACAACTACTAATTTATATATATATATATATATATATTAGTAGTTGACACGTTTCATTTATGTAATGTAAATAAATAAAGAAAAAATAAAATATTTATTATATATTATATGTCATTGATTAAAATTTTCTTTAATATATTTAAGGTCTAAGATTCGAAGTTCAATTTTTACCTAATAACCAATGAGGTGGTGGTCCAGTGGAGCTTCGCCCTCTCTCCATACAAGATGTCTGGGTTCGACACTTGAGAGGTGCAACTTTCTTCATAAGATTGTTTTGTACTCCTCTTGTAGAGTCCTAAGACTTTTGTTGTGGAGTGGGTGTGGAGCCCACTGTTATCCTAATTGGGATCCATTTTTTTAAATTAAGTTAAATCTAGTTGTCAACCGGTTATACTAAGGTCAGAACTTGAGAAAGTTATGATATCCCCCAAGAAGTTTTCTTTCTTTATTTTTTCAAAAAGAAAAAAAAATTCATTTAATATAATATTATCTATTCTAATATATAAAGTGAACTCTGTTAGTGGTATTGACACATTTCTATCTTATATTTTTAATTTTTCCAAATATATCGGTAGTTGATGTTTATATAAAAAAAAGAAGAAAAAAAAGACAAGACTTGAAACTAAAATTAGAAATCGGACAAAACAAGCTCATACCACTTGCAACCCCATAATATGTACATTTTTCTTATCATTATTAATAGAGAAATTCTAATATATATCTAATATGTACATTTTTCTTATCATTATTAATAGAGAAATTCTAATATATATCATTTTAAAAAGAGTATATTATACACATCTATAGTTATGTCATTTTTTTTTTTAATTATGACTAATTTTTTTTAATTATAACTTATGAATTCTTTAATTATGTTTTATCTTGTTTTTAGTTGTGATATTTTTTTTAATTATCACTCAGAAAATTAAAATTATATCATTTTTTTTAATTATAAAATGTATATGATGCACACTATTTAAAGGGTATGGACCCTAATATTTTCCTAATTTCTATCAACTTGGAGGAGAAAAATAAGTCATAGTGTAATCATTCTGTGCCAATTTTCTCGTTGTGATTTGATAAGATTAAGGTTATCAAACTTGCAACGTCAAAACAATTGTTGCTAGGGCTGTAAAAAGTAATTTCAAAACAGTTCTAACTCGATTGACATAGACCCAATAGGACATGTGGTGCGATGGGACGGGGTCATGCGCTAATAGGTGATTAAAACCAAAATCACTGGTAAGCCTCGGTTTGAGAAGTTTGGTTTGGAGGTTTTTTTAGTTAAAATAATCACAAAAAATAAAATAAATTTTTTAGTTTAATAAGATAAATTATCACATTCAATATATAATAATTATATTTTTTTTTACAAAAAAATTAAAAAAGTCAAAAGTCTTTCCAAATTAAATTTTTTAATCCCAAACTAAAATAATTAAAAAAGATAAAAATTTAAAAAAACGAACCCACTTCCCAAACGAAAACAAAATCAAACTCCGATCCCACATTATATAAATGTGACCTACGAAGTCAGTTTATGCGGCCTAATGAGGTGCTAATTTTAGTCGCATCAAATTCTAATTCTACTTTTTATTACATGCCGCCGAGCCATCACCATCCAAGCCGACGTCTCCGATCCAGCCCAAGTGAAGTCTCTATTCGAAGCCGCCGAATCCACCTTCAATTCCCAACCCCACATCTTCATCAACTCCGCCGGCGTAGTCGACCCCAAGTACCCAACCCTCTTCAACACTTCCATCCAAGATTTCGACAAAACTTTCAGGTAATATTAGAATGGATTCACTGCAATCAAATAGAATATAATTATTTTCATCAAAATATTTAGAAAAATGCTAGTACAGTATGTGTACTTGTACGTTGTTTGTAAGAAAAGAAAAATTGTGATTTTTATGATAAAAATTATAAATGTTTTGTGACAAAAGTTACTATAAATTTTGTGATGAAAATTATAAATGACGAAATTATAATGTAAGACTCAAGTTAGATGCCATATGCATGCACCTCACAAACAGAGTGGACATATATTAGTAGCCTTCCTCAAATGTCTGTCTATTCTTATAATAATAAAAAATGAATTGTAAATAAAATCAGCATTATAATGAAATGAAATATGATAATTGTAGAAGCGAGTTTGAAAAATCATCATATCATATCATATCATTTTATTCTGGTTTTCAATTTAATTAATCTCATTCCTATTCCTATTAAGCAAATAGAGCTAGCTATATCATCTCATCTCATCTCATCTCATCTCAGGGTGAACACGAGGGGGGCCTTCCTCTGCTGCAAGGAGGCAGCGAATCGGCTGAAGCGGGGCGGTGGTGGGAGGATTATATGCTTGTCTTCGTCGCAGGTAGGGTCGCTGAGGCAGGGTTTCGGGGCTTATGCAGCGTCCAAGGCGGCAATGGAAGCGATGGTGAAGGTAATGGCAAAGGAGCTGAAAGGGACGGGAATCACCGCTAACTGCGTGGCTCCAGGGCTGATTGCTACCGACATGTTTTTCGATGGGAAGACGGAGGAGATGGTGAGGAAGGTGGTGGAGGAGTGCCCTTTGGGTCGACTTGGTGAGACCTGCGATGTGGCTCCTGTTGTTGGGTTCTTGGTTAGCGACGCTGGTGAGTGGGTTAATGGCCAGGTCGTTCGTGTCAATGGTGGCTACGTCTGATTCTCATTCTCATTCTCATTCTAATTAGTAGCTTATTTGCTAAGTTATATTACCCAAGAAAGAGTGAGTCATTGAGTGAGTTGATCTGTATTAAAATTCTAGTTCCGCCATGTTGGCTATGTTATTATCATCCCATGTGAGTGGCTAACCCACCTTAGAGAGAGTGGGGTGGTTGGAGACCACTTTAGAGAGAGTGGGAGTGGCACCTCTCCACTAACCAATCCACTCACCATTGCTGTCCAACTACCTTCCCTCATGATATGTATAAATAGAGGTTGAGAGGAGAGTAGACAACCAGAGAGAACCAAGAGAGAAGAGAGTGAGAGATGTGAGGTGGAGAGACCGTCTCTCTCGGTGTGAGAGAGGGAGACGGGTGAGTGGGTGAGTGAGGAGAGTGTGAGCTCCTCCCCTATTATAATCTTTCTGTAATCTCTCCATTGTTATAGTGATAACCGGTTACTCTCCCGTGGACGTAGGCTTTAAGGCCGAACCACGTTAAATATGGTTTCTCCTTCTGTGTGGGTGTGTTTTTCTACTTGGTATAATTTCTAGAAGGTCTTGGGCGGGATTCCCGATCCTAACAAGTGGTATCAGAGCCTCGTTGGTGGCGTTTCGGAACAAAAACAGCGTGTTGTTTGAAACTGCCCAGAAATCAAGTTGCTCAAAATCAGGTTTTGAGCATACCAGGAGCAAGGGATCGAGAAGAGGAGTCCAGAAATATAAAGCAGACACCCAACGGAGGCCGGACGCGCCCCTAGAAGTTGGCGCGTGAATTCCAGTCTCGCCACATGCCACCACGCGCCGTTAAGGCAACCGGCGCGTGGTCCCAGTCCCTCTCACGCGCCCCACGCGCGGACCAAGGAAGAAGACGAGTGGAGGATGGCGCGTGTACGGCACGCGCAGGCCATGCGAGCCCACGTCAGCAGCGACGTGTCATCATCAGCGCCACGTGTCATCCACGTGGCAGCCCTGTCAGCAGCCAGGTCATCGACGTGTGGCAGCCAGGTCAGCACCACGTCAGCACGGTTGTGCCATGTCATCTGCCACGTCAGCATCAAGGGACGGATCCAGTGCTACGCGGCAATGGTGCAGCCGCATGAGGAAGGATCCAGTGCTTTGCGGCGAAGGTACAGCCGCAGATCTGAGGCGTACAAAATGTTTTGGCTAGATCGAAGCCATTTGGAGTCCGTTTTTGGTGATCCAATAGTGGTTTCCGACTATTTGGAGTATTCCGGACACATCCGTACGGTCAGATTCTGGAGACGGAGTTTGAGTGAGAGAAGAGCAAGCCACAGAGAGTGAGATATGTGAGGCGGAGAGACCGTCTCCCTCGGTGTGAGCGAGGGAGACGGGTGAGTGGCTGAGTGAGGAGAGTGTGAGCTCCTCCTCTATTGTAATCTTTCTGTAATATCTCCATTGTTATAGTGATAACCGGCTACTCTCCCGTGGACGTAAGCATTGAGGCCGAACCACGTTAAATATATTGTCAAAACATGGGTGTTTGTCATCTTCAATAGTCGAAGGAAGGTTGCCGGATATTGTGGAACGCTGCGGATTTACTGAATAGGTTAGAATGGGCAGATTCTGACCAGATTGGACAACCAGATACAGATTGAGATAGATTATTGAAGACCAGAAGAGATCAGGCTTGATTAAATGGCAGATCGAGGGAGATCAGGATTGGTCAGGGCACAATTAGAAGATTACAGAGATGATTATCTCTAGAGGTGATTGAAAGATCTGGGTCAATCAGAAGAGAAGACCATTCATCAACGTATAGATGATTTGGCAACAAGTACAGGCTTAAGGGAATGCTGTGGCTGTTGGAGCTACTGTATATGAGTAGGTACTAATGGTATGTGGACATGTAGAACAATAGTTGCAGAGGAGCATACTAAGCGCAGAAGTACAATTGCAGACGTGCAACAGTGCAAGGGTACGCTAGAGTGTCGTACAGAGGCGCGAGAAGAGTGTGTAGCAGCGGGTTGTTGACAGTTCACAGGAACTTCCAGACAGAGAAATTGAGACAGGTAAAACGCAAGAGTGCGTGCCAAGGAGTGGCAAGTCTTATTTCTCTATGGTGGTTTCTTTAGTTCCATGGCAGCAGATGATAGAGTTGATGCAGATCTCTCAAGCAAGCTTGACGCAGGGAGACCAGAAGCCATGGGTGCGAGCACTATGCACGGAGTTGCATAGTGGTAACTTGTACAAAGCGGTGGAAGTTGTCTTGGCAGAAGGGCTAACTGTCAAACATCAGTACGGACGTACAAGTGAGACAGAACCGAACATCAGGGATTGCAGCACAGACAACGGGCGTATGAGATCGCTGGGAAGTTGTTCTGAAGTGCAGAAAGCAAAGGCTGGTTGTTCAGAAATAAGCTCCGAGCAAGGAAAATTGAGGATGTTGATGTGTCAAACTCTGAAGTTTTCTAGTTGCTCCCGTGTTCATCATGCAAGGAGTTGCACGGTAATGCAAGGGTATCCCGAGCAGGGGGTGCAGGACATCCAATCAGGGGGTGTCAAGATATCTTGGTTGCGCAAGTTCAAGCATAGCAAGTGAAGACATCCGAGACAGGAAGCGTAGAAGAGATCTGAGGGAGATAGGAGCAGAGGCTCTCTCCAAATCAGAGAGTGGTATGAGTTGAGTTGAGGATGTAGGATTCCCTCATCTTCTTGTATCTCTGGTGTATTATCTCTAGCTTCAGGGGATGTAGCGTCTCAATGAGGAGATGAAGATTCTGTTGAGATTTGGGCGTGACAAGATTAGCAGCAGTGTGTGCAGTTTATCACCTCACATGGGTTGAGGGGGTGATTTGTTGGCTATGTTATTATCATCCCATGTGAGTGGCTAACCCACCTTAGAGAGAGTGGGGTGGTTGGAGACCACTTTAAAGAGAGTGGGAGTGGCACCTCCCCACTAACCAATCCACTCACCATTGCTGTCCAGCTACCTTCCCTCATGATATGTATAAATAGAGGTTGAGAGGAGAGTAGACAACCAGAGAGAACCAAGAGAGAAGAGAGTGAGAGATGTGAGGTGGAGAGATCGTCTCTCTCGGTGTGAGAGAGGGAGACGGGTGAGTGGGTGAGTGAGGAGAGTGTGAGCTCCTCCCCTATTATAATCTTTCTGTAATCTCTCCATTGTTATAGTGATAACCGGTTACTCTCCCGTGGACGTAGGCTTTAAGGCCGAACCGCGTTAAATATGGTTTCTCCTTCTGTGTGGGTGTGTTTTTCTACTTGGTATAATTTCTGGAAGGTCTTGGGCGGGATTCCCGATCCTAACACGCCACTGTACTCGAGAATACGAATTTGTGTGTCTAGAGGTGGATGTGGAGCATTGAATTCTAGACAAAGCATCAGCAGATATTATTATTATCTCCATATTATGCTTTTGTGATTCTCTTTAAAGCATTTGGCTGCATTACTTGTAATTGGAGCAGGATTGGATCTTGATTTTACCATATATCACCATCTTAAATTTTTTTGATGGATTTGGCAGCATTTGTTTTTTGGAACCATTTTATCAGTACGAGTTATTTTGTTCTGAGGTTAGCCTAAACAAGGTGGGGTATTGAATGCAGAAGCACAATAAAGGACTTTTTAATCTGCTTGGTTTGTGAGTCTTGTATATATTCAAATATAAAGAATGTATAACTGTTTTAAGGGTAAAAACTATACCGGAATTTCCTAAATTTTATGTTTAAAATACATCCCTCCTTGTCTCGTGTAATCAACGGTATTATAATTTTATTAGTCAACCGTTAAGTTCAATGTCAATACTAAACCAAATCAAACCAAGCCTTAAGTCCCATCAAATGGGGTCGGCTACATGAATCCTTTTTCTCCAAGCAATCCTATTAATGGCCATTTCATTAGTCAAATTAAGTAGATATATATCTCTATTTACAATGCTAGCCAACGTTAATCTAAGCCTACCCCGTCCCCTAATACTTTCATCCACCGTTACAGTATCGCATCTCTTCACTACCACCTTTGTTAGTCTCCGTTGAATATGACCAAATCATCTCAATCGATTCTCTCTCAACTTATCTTCTATCGGTGCTACTCCTACTCATTCCCGAATACACTCATTCCTAATTCTGTCTTGTCTAGTCTTGCTACACATCTACCCTAGCATCCTTATCTCAGCTATACTCATCTTATCTATATGTTGTTTCTTGGTTTCCCAACACTTCGTCCCATACAACATCGCTGGTCTAATAGTCGTTCTATAAAATTTACCTTTTAGTCTAGTGGATATTCGTTTACCGCACAGTACCCCAGACGCACTTCTCCACTTACACCACCCCACCTTAATCCTATGGGCACATCCATATCAATCTCCCCCGCTGTTGTGATAATCGACCCTAAATAACGAAAATGTTCACTCTTAGGTAGTTCTTGGTTCTCAATCTTCACTTCTCGTCTGCTTTCATTGTTATTGTTTGTCACGAACCAAACCTGCCCCTATAGGTTTAGCGTTGTAACCAGTCAGTAATTCTTGGATTACCAAAGGCCTCTTAACAGAATAACATATAATTAAGGGCTGTGGAAGCAAATGTACAAAATATACATAGTCTATAGAGCTGTGCAGACATACATGGGACATAAATTTTTGAAACAAACTTATATTTATATATAGATGTGACGTCAAAAATGCATTAGTCATACGTCACCAGAGCCACATACACAAAACTTCCAAATATGTTCAGATCAAACATAAACGTTAGAAAGTACAAAAAATCCCAAAGACTCAAAACTGGGTCAGAACTCAAAAGGGAACCTCCACAGGAGACACGACGGCTGGCTGACTCCAAAACTTGCCAGGTATCAACTTAGGCTTGGTCACGCGCTTGCTCACCTACATACATAAAAATAAATAGTGAGCGGGAGCCCAGTGAATAATAACGGAGTAAAGAGTTTTAATGAATGATGTCATCACAGAGTCAGAAATTAGAATTTATTTCAGAAACATATTTACATTCACATTCTTTTACAAGTCAATAACAGATTTTAGAATACATACATAATCTTACATCCGTTAGCGTTAACAGATCACATACAAAGCATCAAGGGTCATACTTGTCAGTTCCATATAGGAACCTCCAGTTGGGTACAAATAACTTGTCAGTTCCATAAAAGAACCTCCAGACCGGGTACGAAAAACTTGTCAGTTCCACAAAGGAACCTCCGACTGGGTACAGATAACTTGTCAGTTCTACAAAGAAACCTCCGGACTAGGTACGAATAACACCCTTGAGCCATGGAATTGTTGCCACGAATACTTTTCAAAATAAGGACAATCATTCATTTATACAAAACATCGCATTTCAGAAAAACTGATCATTTCATAGTATCAGAAAATAATTAAAGCTAAACATAACTTTACAGAGTTATTACTTACGATTAACAGATGGCTCCAAGGCAAACAGACAAAATGGACAAATTAGATGTCTTGTGGCGCGTGACCTACACAATTACAGAATGAACACATACTGAATTACATAAACGAAAATATTAACTTAATGCTCTCTTATCTTGGTGTATTTCTACATATTTATCCTTGTTATAGTGTCTTAATCTTGGCTTATGAATGCCTAGGATGCAATGAGGACGCAAAAATGCATTTGAAAACACATGGTCAAAAATGCTGGAAACAAGGGTCCTACTCGAGTGCAACTTCTATCGCTCGAGCGGACATGCAAACATGTGAGGAGACGCTCAAGCGCAACTTCCCTCGTTCGAGCGCTCTGTAAACCTTGCAAAAGTACTAGTTAAGTGAAATCTCTGCTCAATGGCCGCTCGACTCTCGCTCGAGCGTGAGACTCATGCCCTCGCTCGAGCGGTCTGCAAAACATGCAAACTTCTGGGAGCATGCATTTCACGCTCGAACGGACTTCAGGTCGCTCGAGCAGAAGTGTAAAATCGGGGTGGCCGCTTGAGCAAAAATGTAGAATCTGGGATTTCCAAATTACATTTCCAAGCTCCAAACTTGAATACAAAGCCATTTAACTCAACCTTTGGGCCCTAAAACTTAAGAAAATCAGTTTTAAACTTGAAAACATTAAGAGTTAAAGATCATTTCATGAAATCAAGGCCCAAAACATGACAAGTGTGCAATAATTCAACTTGAAATATAAGAATATGATATGAACACGACATGCATGTATTCATTTGAGTTCATAGCTTCCAAAACATGATCAAATGAGATCCAATGGTGAGAAATGTTATGAATTCTTGAAACCATGCTAGAATTACAACATGCATGTAAGGAAAACTTTGAAAATAACTTCCAATTGCTATATAATATGCATGCATGTATGAAATGACTTAACTTTCTTCAATTCTAGCTCAAAACTCATGTTAACCCACTCAATTCTCTTGAATTCATGAATTTACCAACTCAAAAGCAAGACTAAAGGCTTGAGTTGTCACCTTAGCTTCTTAATTCCTTAAGATTTAGAGGTAATCTTGAGCAATTCTTCAAGTCTCCAAGTAATGTCCTTCTCTACCTCAAGTTTATCTCAAGTTCTTGGCCTCTCCCTCTCTCTCACGTTTTTGTTACCAAAGATGTAGATATGTGAATGTAAAGTGTGAATGAGGGTCCACTAATGCCTTATATAGGCTTGGCTAATGGCTTATTTGATTTGTTGATCAACTAATCAATTAGACATTAGTTTATTCTAATTTAATTCGTTCCGAATCGAATTTCAATTGAACCTACCATAATGTTCTAAAAATTCCAACTAATACGTAATTCAAGTCAATTTCGCGATTACATACCGATAAGGCCTTCAATTCACAGAACGAAGTAGAAACGGAAACAGATATTTCTACGATAGACAGATATAAGCACAATAATGCAACACACACATATGCAATTTAATTCAGAATTTCTCTTAATTTCTGATTAGGCTTATTTAACCATGAATTAACGTAAATCAAAGGTCGAGGTTGTTACACTGTTACTAAATTTACACTCCATGTACTCTGTCTTAGTTTTACTTTTCCAGAATCCTTTAGATTCAAGAGTTTTTCTCCAAATCTCCAACTTTGTGTTAATTCCTTCTCTAGTCTTATCTACTAGCACGATATCGTTTGCGAAAAACATATACCATGGCACTTTATCCTGAATATTTCTCGTTAACTCATCCATAACTAAAACAAAAAGATAAGAACTTAAGATAGATCCTTGATGTAACCCTACAGTGATAAGAAATTTATTTGTCTCTCCAGCAGGTGATCTAATAGTGGCTACCACCTCTTCATACATATCCCTAATCACATCAACGTAACCTTTTGTCACCTCTTTCTTCTCTAACACCCATTATATTATATCCCGGGGCACTCTATTATATGCTTTCTCAAGGTCGATAAACACCATATGAATGTCTCTTTTCTTTTTTCTATACTTTTCTATTACTTTCCTCAAAAGATAAATCATTTCCATTGTTGACCTGTTAGGCATAAACCCAAATTGATTCTCTGACACCTCTGTTATATCTTGTAATCAGGATTTCATCACTCTCTTCCACACTTTCATTATATGACACATTAGGTTGATTCCTATATAGTTGTTGCAATTATGGACATCTTTATTCTTATAGATTGACACTAAAATACTCTTCCTCCACTCATCTGGCATGTTTCTAGTCAACAAAATTTTGCTAAACAATCTAGTCAACCAAGTAACCCCCTTTTTATCCAAACACTTCCAAGCTTTAATAGGGATATCATTGGGTCCTAAAGCCTTACTTGATTTCATCTTCTTAAGTGCAATCTCCACTTCAAAGTTCTTAATCATGCGATAAAACCTATAGTCTTGATTTATCGTATTACTGGTTATTTCTTTCCCTATTGTCGTATTTAGTAGTTTCTCATTTAATAGTTTCTTAAAATAATTCTTCCATCTTTTCTTAATCTCTTCATCCTTCACCAATACCTTAGAATCTTCACTCTTGGTAAGGCAAGGGTTGCTGCGTCTGTTGTTGTGTCATTGCTTCGGTTAGCGCTTCGAGCATTTGCTCCATTTTGTTCATTCGGGCTTCGGATGATTTAGCTGTACCATCACTTCTTGCATTTTCCATCTGCTATAGGTAAACAAAAAATTATAAACATAGACAAATAGTCCTTTTATAATACTCAAATCGTTTGTTTCCATTTCTTATTGTTATGTTTAGATTTGGTTTTCACTTTTAATGAACACACACACACACTTACATATGTAGATGAAATGTCCCTACTTCTTACTAGGACACCCTAAGCTCGTATAGACTCGTGTGTGTGGTAAGACGCGTGCTCTGATACCATTTTGTCACGACCCAAACCCGCCCCTATAAGTTTAGTATCGTAACCGGCCAATAATCCTTGAATTACCAAAGGCCTTTTAGCATAATAACACATAGATAGGGGCTGCAGAAGCAAATACATGAAATATACATAGTCTATCGAGCTGTGAAGACA